AACTACAAAGTTCGATTCGGGGAACTTTGCTCGCATGAACTCTAATTGCAGTGAAAATTTCTCGCTAAATTGTGGAATTTGTGAGTCATTGGGAGTTCGCTGTTGGTGGGAGGTTGGAGGGGTGAGCTCATCGCCGTTTGGGAAATGTTAGCTCATTGCCTTGCTACCTTTCACTGCGCCACTTACCCACTCCCCCCAATTCCTACCGCTTTTCGTCTTGCATTTCGCGTGAATTAAAAGTCGCCGACCTCGACGGAAAGGGGAAAAAACAAAAGGAAAGAATCAAATTTCTTCGGGTTCTAAAGAAATCTCTTCTGGGTATTTCGTGTAAAACGCGTCCACATGTATTATGTTTTACAATAGCCCAGAGATCATCATCCGAGCATTGTGATACTGCACGTTGTGACGCAATTTGAGTCTGAAAAGATGACGTCAGTACGGAGGCTAGTTAGAAAGTCTGATGCATGACATTTAATGTTTGTAATAGATATGATGCAATATTTTGTAAAAGTTCTGTTGTATTTGGATTAAGACTAAAAAATCATTTGTAGGTTACGTTTAATTTATTTTCAGGCAATTGGAAAAATTGGCATTAAAAGTAAATAGATTTTATACGTAATTGAAGAATTTTTTTTTTAAACGGTATTCAGAAAAATCAAAAATTACTTGAAGAGAAATTCATTAGTTATCTATAAATTGCATTGCTTAGAACAACATCTTTTAACAATGGATTTTAAAGCTATTCAGAAACTCGGTAAAGTTCCGATTAGCATTCGATAACTATCGATAACGATACTAAGTTCAAAAGTAAAAGTGAAACATTTTTGTTTTACAGCTTATTTTCCCTATAAATTATCTATCCTTTACAAAAAAAGGATAGGAGGTAGTCCTTTTCAGGTCATCTGATTTCCCTCTTTCGTTTTTTTTTCGTGCTTTGTCTTGAGTCACGAGTCCAACGCTAGAACTATAGCTATAAAATAAAGACCAGACTAGATCAACTGATAGACACGCAGCGGGAGCCTTTGCGGCAGTGCCACGTCTAATTAGCACTTTACTGGTCCGAACCGTTTGGGCTTGGGATGGATAGACTAAGCCACCGAGCGACCGACTGACCGACCTACGATACAGATACAGTATCGATTCTGACGTCAATCGCTTTAAAATTGCGGTGCTGCGCATTGTCAATGCAATTAGACAGACTGGGCGACAGATCATGATACAGCCAGAGATGGATAATGATGCCTTGTACCGACTTGAGCATTGGTTATGGATACTCGGACTTCCCGCCAATGAATCGTTTCGGACAACTGTGATTCCAGCGCCAGTGGGATCATGTAAGAGATCAGGGAAAGGTCTCCATAAGGCACGTGGCCAGAACACGCTGTGGTGTGTCGGAGATAAGCAGCAGTGGTACCCAGACTTAGGCCGATGTTTACCCTATCCTATCCCATAGGTGCCTTTCTGGCGATTCTTGTGTCTGCGTTATGCAATCATCGCTGTTTTCCCTTAACCGATTGTCTGCTATTCTTATCGGCTGATGTCTGGCTGTCGTGGAAAAGTAAATTATTAAACACTATTCTTAAGGCTTGTTTTCCCACTTCGCTATGCCTGAAACTCCCCACACTTGCACAAATATAAGAAGACCGAACAAATCGAGTGGTAAAAACCCAGCACAACCCGACCAGGCCAATGTGTTTATATTTTTATCTTATCTGTCATGCTTTTTATGGTCTTGTTTATGGGTTCTGCATTTTGTTTTTCACTGAAGTTGAAGAATAAACCCAGCTAGGGGCTCGACAAAAGTCAAGCCATTCGATCCGCACATCGGGCGAAATAAAGCTCCATAAATGTCATTAAGTCATTAAGTTGTCTTAGCATTTCGACTTATCATCGTTATCTTGTTGTTTTTCACAACTTTTTCTTTGATTGTTGAGATTGGTTAGGAAATGGTCTTTGGTGTTATGATTTCCAAATTGTAATTAACTTTTTATTGGCCTTTGTAAATATTTTTAAGGAGAAATTCCAAAAGCAAGAGGTTTTATTTGATACAGTGACGCTTTATGTATTTAAATTCCAGTGAAACCTTCATCGCTTACAAAATCCGGCATTATCGCAAACAATAACCCGTCAAGGTTTTGCTTACATATTACCTTGACTAGTCTCTACTATAGCACTTTTAACTGATAAGTCTATTATATTCCATCAGCTTTTATTGTTTGCGACAGTTCAAATCAATTATTAAATATTGGTATAACCTAAAAGCGTTATCACTTTACTCGGGAATAGAACGAACCACTTAATCGTTGGCGCTAGGTTATATACTCTGTGTTTTTGTATTCTTAAAATTAAAATTGTTTTCTTCATCGATTGGCAGTAGTATGAAGAGGGAGAGATTAGCACTCAAATTAGAGCGTGTAAGTGGCTGTCAAGCTCTTTTTATATAGAATATATAGGCTAAAGATTGTACTTCATTGAGTTGTAAAAAATGAGAGAGTTTCCGATCATACTTTCTGGACATGGTAATTTAAATTTACTTCCATATACCGCGACGCAGCAAAATAAAGCACGTCACTGAGATCTTTTGCCTTGATTGATAAGTGATAAAAGGAAAATAAACAAAAACGACCGTTTAAGGAAGCAAAGCGCTTCCGTCCCATTTCTTTACTCGTAAGTACTCGGATTTGAAAAACAGGAAAACGCTGTCGCAAAGAGACCTGCTACAAATAAATTACATATTATTTGACGCGCCTTTGTCGGGCGTAGGCAACAAATGACTAAAAAATGTATCTCTTCTTTCTGACTCAGACAAGGAATTCGGCACAATCCGAATAACCCGCAGTCCGTAATCCGCAATCTGTGTGCTCATGTCCAATTCGTGACAATTGAACCAAACGGAATGAGTTTAAATACTATACATATATATAAAGGCAGATCAAGAAATGGGAAGTGTCCTAAAATATGAATGATATGCGACATCTGCTGGGGTTAGAGAACTTTCCTGAATAAAATTGAGGGTACACCTGGTGGCATATGTATGATACCATCGTCACTTGAGTGTCTTAAATGGATCACTTGTTTTTAATATGTATTATAATTTTATGACTTTTGACAATAAAAAAAGATGAAAAAAAGGCGCAGCTTTTTTTGTCTGGCGGTGTGACACATAAACTATAGAAAGCTGCACAAAGCCAATTTCATTCCGATGATTGAGTTGAGTAATTTCAATAATTATCTCAAAGCAAACACAATTCTTATTTTTCACATTTTTTTCTTTATTTGCTCATGAATTGGCAAACAATTTATGGCATTTTTGAAGTGTGGCATTTGTTGGCTGCCGAGAGATAAGCAATTCACACAGAAAAAACAGTCTGCCATTTTGTAAACAAGGCAAAAGCCTGATAAGCGCCGCCGGGAAGGGAGCTCATAAAAATATCAGCCCCAAAGTCTCGTACACAATTTTATATTATTTCTTTTTGCGCCAAGGTCAAAAGCAACAACAGAATTAAACGCATAAATTCTGTGGCAAACGAGAGTTGAGGGGGTATTGTACAAAATGGAAAGAAAAATTAACGTGCTTGGGGAAAATACTTTCACAAAGTGAAAAAGAGGGAAAACATTTCTAGGTGGTTAGAAAGGAATTCAAAAAAGAAAGAAGAGAATCGAAATGAAATACGTTGGCCCAAAGAAAGTGGGGAGAGCAATTGAATTGACCCAAATGACCATTATGGGTGGCAAGTTGCAACTGCAACAGAGGCAGCCACTGTTTCTCAATTGGATTTCGTGGAAAAGGAAAAGTTGATTGACTTTAAATGAGGCAAAAAAAACACTACTGCATGCTGTGGCCACAACGCAAAATGTGTCATCAAGTTCCGTTTGGAATTTTCTATTAACTCCGCTACTTTGTATAATAAATACACAATTGTGATGAATTATTAAAAGATAAATATGAATTGGGGATAACCAAGCGTTTGAGAAGAGCATACAATTCTCAGAATTATGGTTTTAAAAAGCCAGATTATAATTTTCATGTTCTCTTGTGTTTTTCCAAAGGTATTAAATCGTACGTGTAATTTTTTTGTAAGTTTAATGTTAAATGTGGCTTTAAAATTTATTAACTTGAAGTCATAATTGGCAGATAATGCTTAATCGATTACTGATAGCAAATACTTCCACACTTATTTTCTAGGGTTGGCAACAAATCGGTCTAAATGCAACAAAATATGTTATTTAAACAGTTAACATCATTGAAACTTTTATTTTGCCTGATTGCAAAAGCGATTACAAACTCGATTAGATTGCCTCACTTAAGACCAATTCGATTGTTCTTTGTGTACAGCCGTAAACCATGAATTTCAATGGGTTTTTATTCATAACTCTCGACACAGTTCATTTCAGTTCATTGAAAAAGTCTCAAAACAATTGTCATCTTCTTGGGATTGTTCATTGGTTTGAGAGTCTTGTACTGCCTTTTAATTGGGTCTAAATATAGAATCGTCCACTGAAATGCGTGCTCAGTACTCAGCATGTTCAATTCAATTGAACTAAATTTGTACTTTATACTCGCACAAAGCCGAGAATGAAGGAGGGCCACTTGATAGAATTGTATCTTTTTGTGAGCATGGCGCCCCACTCGAAAATCTTTTTGATGGGCGCTTTTCATATTTCTTGTAGCTATTTATGGATTACTGAGACTGCAGACCTTGTTTAATCGAGATTAAGAATGGACCATCAAGTGTACGCATCATTTGTCTTCAAAAACAACGACTGTTTTCACGGTCAAAAGTTCAAAAACGCTTGAGGCTGACTTTATAATGTTTTCCGTCATTGTTTCTTTGATAAGAATTTTGTATGGCAATTGTAGCCCATTATAAAGATTACCGATTTCATGTTGTTTTTCGAAGTCTTATCAATTTGGCGCTGACAATATTTTATTGTGCTACAGTAATATTTATAATTGCCTCAGATAAAATAATTACAAATTGAATTGAATTTGAACTTACCATTGCCTGCTCGATTTTGTTGTCAATCGCAACTGCACTTGTTCCAGATGCACTGTAATAAATGGGTGAAAAATAATGAAATTAGAATTGAAATATAATGTATTTATATATAGCTAGTTTGCTTTTTTATATTTTTTTGTAACATTGCAAAAAAGCAGAAAAGTTAAGCCTCTTACAACAATTTAAAAACCCCATTATCATGTCAATTTTATATCACTAAAATCATCAGTCTTCTCAATTAAAAACAAATCAAAAACTTATTTTTTAGTTGCCTTTTTGAATGCCTAAAGAGTTTTGCTGAAGACCTTCGAATTGAAGTTATTTTTGGCTATCCGACCTTGCGGATGACAGCCGCAAATTGAGGTCAATAGACAATAAAACTTCCTCCACTTCGCGAAAAAGGAAAAAAAAAAAACAAAGTTCGAATAAAACGCAAATCTCCCCCATCTAATTGCAATGCCAAATAAGCAATTAAATTGTCATAAGACCAAAGTGAAAGATGAATGGTATAAAAAGAGCTTTGCCTTTTGGATCGAATTTAAATCCGATATAATGAATTTTATGCAATCAAATCGAGTTTTCCCCCTACCCCACGATTAAATCAATCAAAAACGGTTCGGCATATTTCTTTAATTACTGAGTGCAAGCAAAAGTGCAAGTTATTAAACCACTCGTTCGATCGATTGACATACAATTAGTTACCTCTGAAAAAACTAGAAAAAGCACAGCGAAATCCAAATTCAAAAATTGATTATATAAAGTAACTCAGTTCTAAAAAATTAAATTTGCCCATGTGTTTTAGGGCTCGACTCGCCTTGAGGTTTAACGAGATTCAAATAAACCCAGATGTGAGCCGGCTTTTTACGGGTTAAAGAAACTTTTCAAGGTCGAAGTCTGATAGTCAAAGTAAAGAACTTTTAAGTGATAATTGTGTCTCAAATGACTTTATGCATCACTTCATTAAAAATCGAACAATGAACTCAGCCAACGCCTTTTCTTTTCATGTCTTTGTTTTTTTGTCTGTCATTTTATCAAACAAAATTGATTCGATTTGTGGTTAAACGAGGACGGAAGCTAACTTCGGCAAGCCGAAGTTTTAATACCCTTGCAGACTTTGACGAAATTGCTAAAAGTGAAAAAGTAGCGAAAGGAATAAGGTATACATAAGTAAACTAGATTTGCATCGTTTCAAGTCAATTGCTTTTATACTGCAAAAATGTCATATACAAAAGGGATACTTTCGCAGCCTTTAACAATTTTTCCTATCTCCTTTAAGATATAGACTTCCGAGCGGCAAGCGCTTTTACCCTAATCAAGATATGCGTAAATAAATAAGAATTGGAAAATTTTATGTTAGTAGCTTACACACTGCGCGAAATATTCTGATAATCATCAAATTTGGAACGATTTCACCCTATTGTTCCTATGGGAGCTATAGGATATAGACGTCCGATCAGCACGCGCTTTTACCTTGATGAAGGAATGCATAAAAAATATACGATTTGAAAAAATGTACAGCAATAGCTTTTACACATCGCGAAATATTCTGAAAAACATCAAATTTGGACCGATTTTACCCTATTGTTCCTATGGGAGCTATAGGATATAGACGTCCGATCGTCACGCGCTTTTACCCTGATCAAGGTACGCATAAAAAAATAAGATTTGGAAAGATTTATGTCAATAGCTTTTACACTGCGCGAAATATCCTAAAAATCATTAAATTTTAACCGATTTTACCCTATTGTTCCTATGGGAGCTATAGGATATAGACGTCCGATCGTCACGCGCTTTTACCCTGATCAAGGTATGCATAAAAAAATACGATTTGTAAAGATTAATGTCAATAGCTTTTACACTGCGCGAAATATCATAAATTCTTGCAAGATATATCCAATTGTTCCTATGGGAGCTATAGGATATAGACGTCCGATCGGGGCGATTTTCAAACTTGATCTGCGTACACATGTTTTAGGACGATTGTGAAAGTTTCAGATCGCTAGCTTTTAAACTGAGCTCGCAAACGGTATTGAAACAGACGGACAGACGGACAGACGGACATGGCTATATCGACTCCCCTATTGATCCTGATCAAGAATATATATACTTTATGGGGTCGGAAACGTCTCCTTCACTGCGTTACAAACTTCTGACCAAAATTATAATACCCTCTGCAAGGGTATAAAAATTTATGCCATACGCAATAATTTCTAATTATAGAAATGGCATGATATATAGAAAGATATGAGTGTGTCATCAAATTAGATGGCTTAATCGATAGTTACACATATGTGAAATAATAAACTAATGAATCATTTGAAAGCAATTCTAATAAGATTCCTTAAAAAGAGGTTAGCAACCGTAAATGATTTTTGAGGCGTGATTGAGATATATAGACACCGGAACTTAAAGAAACTTTATTAAATACATAATTATTGTCTCTTATATAAAAAATACTTCAAAAATTATGCAGAAACTCTGGAATTCCTTGCTTTATACCAACAACGACTCCGACCTCAACTATAATACCATTTGCGAGGATATACAAATTCACTTTTATGATTAACACATCGTGCTGTTGATACTTTCGCTGGAATGCTTTTCATTTATATGAATTGGAATGGAATAATATCGGGTGGTTGGGATGGATTTGCAGCGTGCAAAACAATTAAAGTCAGTGGAAGTCGACTGGGTAATAAAGAACGAGACGAGGGGCAGCCTCAGGACAGAATTACGAGAGTTTCGTTTTCGAAAACAGACGGGGAAACTTATGATCTACCCCCTGAGTCAGTCGACAAGGACGAAAGGCGAACAGTTTCTTAACCTGCCAGAAGAGTCAAGGGAACCAAGTTTACGACTTTCTATATCATCACTTGCCTTGCTTGCGAAAAACAAGGCGGGAAAAAGTAAAAGTCTCGCCTTTGCATCCAGACGAGCGAGTGCAATGACTCATGTCGTGACTTTTGTTCTTTCTTTGGGCTATGGGCACAAACAAAAGCCAGAATAATAAAATAAAATAACATTTATTCGCCAATGTCATTGCGGACACCGGTCAATGGCGTTTTTATGGTTGAAGTACTTTTTGGTGGGCACCCGGAGTTTTTGGCGAAAATTGGGCTTTTCGAATGGCCATTAATTGTAATTTATTCGGCAATTTTAACAGATTACACACCTATTTAATTTGAGGTGAATGGGAATACTACAATTTCAAGTAAGAATTCAGTTAAGTTAAAAACTTTTAAGTACACATTGTAAAAAAAATTTAGTTGTCATTTTTTTAAATTTTATAAAATAAAACATCTGTTTTATAAGTTGTCCTTAGCTATAAATATTAATCTTCGGATAGAAAACAAACATGTCATAAAAAAAAATATAATAATTAGTAAAACTTCGTGAAATAGACATGTACATGTTTGTTTTCGCGACTCAGATGAAAAAGGGATCGGATGACACTATCCTATTACTGCCTATAGTATCTTAAAACAGATTATTTTTCGTTCCCTAAACCCAAAAAACGAATAGTCCCCAAATCGAAATGTTTTTAAATAGGAGGGCTTTCAAATTAAAGTACTTAAAAGTTGTTTTTACAAACTAAATCGAATTACAAATAAATTAAAGCATTTCACTTTTATCTTTATAACTAACTCGACTATTGTACCTAATTACTAAACTACATCTTTCACGCACAGCTGGTGGTAGCACCATAATCATTAGAGCAGCAATTGTTAATTGGCTTTTCTTAGAATCTCACCAGCTGTTATCAGCGTGAAGTCAGTAAAATAATGTTAGAAATGAGAAGCAAACCAACTTGGCCAAAGCATGGGAGACAAAACAAAATAAAGAAAGGGCAAGCACAGGCAAGACAAATAATAAATATTGGTACGAGTGTGGAAAGAAGGCAAAAAATCACGCGACGGACAAAAAAATGAAAGCCACACACATTATAAACACATTTTCGTTATACAAACGAAGAGGAAGAAATAAGAGAGGGGAGAAAAGTGCAAAGTTTATAAAGGTTCAAACGCCGCAATCGAACGCTCATAAAAATAAGAGTGATGTCATTTATTTATTTACTTTTTTGCTTCTGTTTTTCGTGCTAATTTAAAGATTATTTAGGTATTTATTTGAGACTCGGCTGTCTGTGCATAGTGATTAGCTTTGGGGCTTATTTATCAGATCACGTGATGAGAAGTATTTATGTTACCTAAAGAGAAAAATGTGTCAGTGACTAAAAACAAAATGCAAATAAAAACTAAATTAATGCAAAGTAAACAAAAAAGGCGGCTTACGGCTTTTAAGAATTTAAATTTAAATTATTGCTTGTTTAATAACAAAAACTTGCTGTGTTTATATTTCAAAAGGGGACTTGTTAATTAGTATCTGCTTATCGCTTCGTTTGTTTTCTGTATTTTGCAGTTGGCGCCACTCGTAGACCTCACACTTTTCTTTTGGCACTTGTTTTGACTGGCAATTGCAGAAGTCGAATTACACGATGCCAATGAGTTTTTCGAATCCAATCGAATTAATCTGAATATGCGCATTTTCTGTGAATGAAACTTTGGCAAAGTGCCAGGCTAATCCCTTGATGAAAGTCGCTGCTCTTTGGCATTTTCGCATTGGCTATTTTCATTCAAAATATCAGGATTCGACGATTTTTCACACGAGTCCAAACTGATTTGTGCATTTTCGAAATTTTAAACTTGCGGATGCCGATTCTGCTATTCTCCTTATAAATACAAATTGCTAACCAGGCAAATACCGTGCGCTGACGCGGCAAAATCACACAATGCATAGTAAAAACAGATATCGAAATTGCGATCAGGCATTTGGCTGATGTAAGCGAAAGGAGAACTCGGCATATATATTCATGCCATCTTCGCAAATCCGAATCCGTCGAAAACTTCCCGTCACTCGGGCACGGCATTTTGTGAAGTGTTTATTTGCATTTTAGGGACTCAAGAGCCGGGAACGATGACACCGAGTTTACGACTCCAGGAAGTTGGCGAACGAAAACAAAAGACATCGTAAAATTGTTTAGCAAAATAGAAACAA